AGAAACTATTTATTGATATATATATATTCATCTTTGAAATATTTATATGGTAAAATAGAATGAAAATAATAAATAGTCAATGTACTGACTACTATTGAATAAGATAACAAGATTCTGACGTAGTCATTTTGCCTTCTCTCATCCGAGAAATAGTATTAATAAATTTCCTTTTACGTACTTAATCATACTTTTCTATACTTGAAACATTTCAATAGCCTTTTCAATAGAAAGACACATTCACAGAAATCCGTACAAGGGTATATGAATTCGAAACAGGTCACAGAATCTTGTCCGGGTTTATGTCAATGGCGATAAGTGGATATCGTAGCTTGTTATTCTCCGCTTATTTTTCTACCGTATGATGGATGATCAGATTTTAAGCGTCATTGTATCTTCTGAATATTCCATTTTGAACTAAATATTTGTCAAGAACAAACAAAACATTTCTTTATATCTCTATATCTAACTAAAATCTATTGCAAGTTTAGAATATTTTCTTTTTTTTTTCAAGGTAAATGTTCTTCGTGGTATAAATTTACGTGTTCCATCTGGTTATTCTGCGACATCTTTTGAAACTTATGTTATTATTGAATTTCCTTATCCACCTGAAACTCCTCAAACAGCTCGAACACGTTATGGAATTGGTTCAACAATTGCTGAATATTCTGATTCATTACATAAATTTCATATAAAACGTACTGATGGAAAATTTAAACGTTTAATGAGTCGAAAAGAATTAAAATTATCTATATTTTATCGAGTTGGTTTTCTTCGCTCAGATCGTCAATTAGGTATAGCATCAATTAAATTAGCACCATTAGAACAAACATCAACTATACATGAAACAATTGATATTTTTGAAAATGATCATAAAAAAAAAGCTGAAGGAAAATTAGAAGTTAAAATACGTATTAAAGAAGCATTAGGATCAATAAAATCATCTGAAGTATCATTACAACGATGGCTTGTTATTGATCATTTTGAAGAAAATGTAAATTTTAGAATGATTATTTGTTCTTTTGTTTTCTTCAAATTTTTTTCTTTTTTTTTGTTTAGTCTAACAATCCTAAATTGTCAGCATCAAAGTAAGTTAAATATAAATAGGCTATGCTTAGATGCTTCTTCTTTTGCTTCATTGTATTCTCAATGGAATCAATATTGTCCTATCGAAATGTTTTGTTTTTTTTTGTCTAATATTTGGTCGATCATCCTATTTTTTCAGTCTACATGTCGTATCAAATTCAACAACGAATATTAATAAACCAGCATCGTCAATTTGTACATGTTTATAAAAATACAATTATTATCAACAACAAAATACAATCAATTAATAAACATAAAAATAAAGAAATAATTGTTTAATACATATTTTTTGTTTCTTCTTGTTTTATTAATCTTTTCTTTTGCTCACTATCAAACCCTTTCTTAATTAGTATGATTTCTTTTTTTTTTTTGTCTTTATGATTGTATTTTTCTATTAACACAGAATCGAAAGAGAATAATTTTACTCTCAATTCAGATCACCATCAACAGCTCCATCGATTAATGCTATCTCACGCCTTATACCTACAAGTGATGCTTTAGGCTTATTGGCTATAAATTTAGCAAATAATTTAAATAACAATAAGGATAATGATGATGATCATGCAGTAGTTGATAGCAGGTATTTTGTAGAATATAAGATACGATAGTTTGTTCAATCATTTATTTTTGTTTTACTATGCATGTATCACTTTTCGTTTTGTTGCTGAATTGTAGTTTTAACTACATTTGTTTTATAATAATCTATCATTTATTTCTTTTAATCTAGTACAACTGAATCAAATAATAATAATCGTCCTAATAATCAACAGTCAGTTGGTTATCAAAGTATTAAAGTACTTAAATACGAAGCAGATCTTCTTGAACAACAGGTATTATTTGATTATTTCAAGAAGTTTTTTTTTTTATTGTTTTTATTAAATTAGATCGAACAACTTGAAGATCATCTTACAAAAGAACAAATTGATCAATTACGAATAAAACATCAAACACTTGTGAAACAAAGTGATGATATAGTTGCAAGTTTACGTCATGGTGGAAAACAAGTTATACAAGGTATTAATCAATTTGTAATATTTCGTTTATTTTATATTTTTTACTAATTCAATTTTTAATAGAACATGTTCGAAGTCTTGAACAATTAATGGAACATTATAATAAAGAATCAGATGAATATCGTCAACGAAATGAGATAAAAAAAGCTGATATGTTTTTACATAAAAAGGATCTTGTTGCCCAAGAAGTAATTAAAATTCAATTCATTTGTTTTTATTTTCTTAATTGAAAATCTTTTGATATTTATTCTTAGATTGAAACGTTTACCAGTTAATGATAAATGCCAGATTCAATCTTATTTTAAAGTTTTTCTGTTTGTTATTCACACTCGATTTATTTATTACACTTTTCTTTGATTTCTTGTTTGCATGAATTATTACATTTTTCTTTTTTTGTAAAAATTCTTTTGTGTTAATAAAGCCATTAACATCAATGGATAATAAAAAAAAACAAAATTATATAAAACTCGACTTGCCCGTGTGTATATTTCTAGATTGAAATATAAATTTTTTTTGGAATGGATTTGTTAGCAAATCAATTAGAATTAAATTCTTCAAGAAATACACTTTTATGTCTTTCACAATATTCAGTTTGTCTTACAGCTGGTTGTTTATCAGAAAAAAATAAATGGCGTGAAAATCTTATGAATTTATATGCTCGTATTAGTTTATGTCGTACTATTAATCGATCATTAGATTATTTTGCTTGCCTTTCAAGAATTCGTAAATATGGTCTTGGACAAAATGTAATTTATCTTTTTTTTTTTTTTTTGTTGAAAAATTATTATTTAGGATTCACTATCATCGCATCTCAATCGTTTATTAACATTAGTTGGTAATTTATGTGATTTTGTTTATTATCCTGCTGAATGTATAGCATGGTTATGTGAAGCAAATGTATTTGGTATAAATCGATCATCGAGACCATTTCGACTTGTTTCATTAATTTGTTGGTTATCGAATATTGTTATTTCAATTATTAAGTACGTAGAATTATTTATTATTGAAATGAATTATATGTTGTTGTTGTTTTTTTGATTTAAATAGAAATACAATTCAATTAATTAAATATAAAAAATTATTGAAAGCAGAAAGAAATAAAGATGGAAATAGTAAAGAAATACGAAGGTTAGATTTTAATTGAAATAAATTATAAGTTTTTTTTTCTTTGTAATTGTTTTTCAGTCCAATGGTACCTTTATCTGAAATGTATAAATGTATGTTGACATTATTAAATAATTTTTGTTTTTTTCTCCTTTGTATTCATTGGCTTGCAATACCAAAATTTTTATGGTCAGGTAAATTACCTGTATTTATGGTTGGTTTATGTGGAACTTTAGCTACGATATGTAATATTGTTAAAATGGCATTATAATCAATTTATGAAGAAAAATTATAAACTTGTGATAATCACTTTTTTTTGTGTGTGTGATTTTATGATTTTTATTCGATAGATAGAGTGTTTTATCCAGATTGTATCTTTCGAACGAGCTATTCAAAACTTCGGGAGGACGAACAGCTGTTTTTTTTGGGTGAGGGAACCATAGACACATAGTACGTACTACAATAATCATAAATTTCAGAGAGGTCAGAAGTGCTATCCTCTCGCTGGATAAAACACTGACATAGATATATGAAATATTTAATTCTTATTATGAAGATTTTTGTTTGTTTAGAAAAAAAAAAAAGTACAGTAAAATTAATTGAATTGATTTTGTCATAGAAACAATGTTACAAAAAAAGGCCAGAGAAAATTCTCATAAGCCATTAATAAGAATATTATTAATAAAAAGAAAAAATTTGCAAGAATATTACATGTTATAAATTTTTAAAAATTTATAGTTCTCAACAATGATTATTCGACAATTAATTATTGAATAATTCTTTTTTGTTTTTCAATTAGACTATTTGAATTTATCTAAAACTAGTAGATAATTGAATTTTTTTTTTTTTATTTTCATAGCATTGTAAGTCATTGAAATATAACATCGATAAACGATCTTCATGTGAACAGTCATACTAATTGTAACTAGAATATGATAATGTACATATATATTTGATATTGATCAATATAGACACCATACAACGATCGATTATCGTTGTCAATAGCTATAGTAATTGCACTGTCACTAACACATATAGATGAACATAGGAGATATCATAATTGATGAGTGTAATTGTTCTATTATTGAAGGTTGAACTATTCATCAACTTGGTATTTGATGTATTAATGTCTACTACATCTGTCTATCATATACAAAAGACACAAGTTAAATTTCTTTCGCAAATTGAAACATAAGTAAATGTTCTATTTTTGCTATGATATTATTGTAACGCATCATTGAAATATAAGAATTCTATAAAATTTCAAATAATTTTACTTGTTAAACTAGATAATAATAAATAATTTTTTTGTTTATAATGAGTTATATATTTTCGATAGTTTGTCTAGAGTCCGTTGGATTGATTCTGGATCTGAAAATTTTAAATCCAACAAGTTCTAGCTACACGTTCAAAAAAATATACAAATTGTCAAGAGATTAAAAGTCAGATTTTATCATTCTGCCAAAAAAAGAAAAAACAACGACAAATATTCACTAGAATCTTTTTTTTTTTCGGTTCGTATAAATGATGCCATAATTCATTGTCTAATCCATGAAGTTATAACTTATTAGCTGAACTTCACAAAAGAACAAGAGACAATTAAATTGGAAATATAGTCTGTAATTTTATGTTTTTTTTTTTCTAAATCATGAACTCGACAATATTTCAAACAAGATAAATGAATACAAATACATTAAAATTATAGAAAAAAAAATTTGCCGATTATTTCATTGTTATTCTACGTAGTGCGCGTATATGTATATATATATATAAATATATGTGTATTGTATGTCTTCAATATTAATACCAATGATTGGGATGTGTTGATGAATGTATATGAGTTGATGTAGCCTAGTAAAAGAAAAAGATAATTATTTAAACCTAATTACGAAAAACTTACGCCGCCTACTCTATTTTGTGTCATAATATCAGTCACTTCACGATCTTCAGGTAACATGATTGGTGAAATAGCAGGTTGTTGATGTTGATGTTGTTGATGGTGTTGTTGTTGTTGTTGTTGTGGTTGTTGTTGTTGTTGTTGTTGTTGTTGTTGTTGTTGATGTGTTGATTTTGCTATTTTACCTAATCGAACTAAAATATGTACTAGACGTCGAGCAGATATTGGTTCATTAACTAAAAAAATAAAACAAAAACAAAGATTATTTTTGAAAGAAAAATAAATTTATCTTACTATTATATTGAAGATCACGTGCAGCTGAAGTTAAATCACTTTCTGCTAATGATATGCCAAAACGTTGTAAAATATTAGGTAATGTAGTAAATGGTAATCGACCTGATGGTTCTGTTCGAAGAAAAATTTCTATAAAAAAGAAAAAAAAAATGTTAATAATAGAAGAAATATTAGAAAACAAACCATTAAGTTGACGAATAGTTAATCTATCACCACTACTACCATTATTAACTACTGTCATTGGTTCTTTCTAAATAGATAACGAAAATTATTTTTCTTTTTTTTAATGTTTTCATGTAAAATAAACTTTTCTTTTACTAATGGAATATTTTGTTCTTTAACAGGTTCTACAGATGGAACAATAGTATTAACTGGTGCACTTGTCTGATGAGATCGATGATGATGATGATGGTGATGATGATGATGACTTTCAGTAGTCATAGGAGGAGCTTGTTGTTCTGATTGATTATAATAACGAATTGGAGGTTGACTACGAGGTCCTGTCTCAACACTATGAGCACGATGTTTCGAACTTCGTCGACTTTCTCTATGAACATGATGCTGCTGATTATTATTATTATTGACAACTGGGTCTGTTCGTTTATGAGCTGTTGCTGACCAGGGAGCAGATATTGGTATTGGTATTTGTGATTGATATATAGGTTGAGTAGATTGATATTGTTGTTGTTGTTGATTCGGATAAAATGTATGAAATGATGTAGGATGTGTCGTACCTCGATTTGGATTTTTATTTGTCTGAGGTGATAATGGATGATTACGTGTTGGATGAGTATTTGAATTATCAATATTTCTTACTGATTTTGCTGTTGATGATGTTGGATAAACAGATGGTCTAAGAAATTAATTAAATAGAAAACAAAAAAAATTTGTTTTGTTTTTTCAATATAAATTATTGTTTTACTTTTGATAAGAAAGAGCAGGAGGTTGTTGACCATAATAATATGGTTGTTGATATAATGGATTTTGTTGAGGTAAAAATGATGGAGGCATATAAATATTTGATGGTTGCGATTGTTGTGGTAATACAGGATTGCTATAATAATGTTGAACAGGTCGTGATTGTGGCCACATATATTGAGGTTGATTAGCATTAGGTACATAAGGTACTAAAGCTCTTGCATGATCTCGACTACTTTTTTTTCCTTTATGTTTTGATTGTGATACATTGAAAGGACTTTCACGTGAATTCGTACGATGATGAGTATGTTGTTGTTGTTGTGGTTGTTGTTGTGGTTGTTGTTGTTGTTGCTGTTGTTGTTGTTGTTGTTTGCGTTGTGATGTGACAGAAACATCTTGTTCATTTGATGTTGTTCGATGATTATCAACTTTAGGTTGAATGTTACTTGTCATACGCATTGAAGATGTTGTTGCTTGTGACAATATATTATCATCTGTTACAGACGTTGTTGTTATTGGTGGTGGTGGTGGTGGTGGTGCAATATGATCTTGTGAATGTGTACGACTACGTGAACGTTCTGAATCTCGTTCTTTTTTAAGATCTTCTCGCATTTTTTCTAAATTTGTTGATACATAATAATGAGATTGATTCTGTTGTTGAGTACCATGTGTTTTTGTTTCATGATTTGATGCAATTTTACTTGCTCGTTTTTCAACAAGTATAACACGTTCAACATCAGATTCATATTTAACTTTAACTTTATATCGTCCTGTACGAAAAAGTTCTAATGCAGCTGGATAATCACGAAGTAATTGTTCAACTTCTTGAATACTTTTTACACTTCGAGAACCTTCCATAGTATTTTGAACTAAGGAAAATTTAAATAGATTTTTATTTAATCAAGAAAGAAAATAAAAATCATTTACATTGAGCTTTTGTATATGGACCACTTTGAACAGCAGTTGACGCATGATTTGTATCCAAAGATGAAACTGTACTTACGGGTGTTGATGATTTCATAACAGTAGTAACAGGCATAATATTTTATGTGTTACAAATAGAAACAAAAAAAATTGAAACTAAAAACGAAAATATCTTAATAATATAATTAATTTAACTAGATCATTTGATAAAATCTCTATAATCTTAATTAAATAATTATACAATCTTTTCAATGAATTAGTTTTCTATGTATTTCATCTGTTTATTTTTTTTGTAAAGGAGTAATCTAATTATACATATCTATTTGTCAATGCATACCTATTAGTAGATGATTTTTTTTTGGAAAATAAAAGATCTACTTTTTCTATTGTACAACTTACTAATTCGAATATTATCGTTTAATGAATACTTATATGTCAATGTTCTATATCCAACTTGTATTACCTTTCACCATCATCTTTTTCTTCCCTATTAGTCGTTTGGTCACGCTTTCATAACACTTTAATAAAAAAAAAAAGAGAGAAAAGAAGAAATGTAATGATCATGAGAAAAAAGAAGAACGCAAACCATAACTGTTACATATATGAAAGGTAAAAAAAGAAAAAGAAGTGAGTTGTCCGATTGAATCAAATAACTAACGTAATTAGTTTTGTACATAGAATGTATTCGGACGGTCACCGGTTTCGCTCGAATAATTTCGAATACGATAATGTGAATAAGCAAGAAGAAAAAATTGTATGAAGAGTCACATTTACATTCTTTCCATTAGACATATGTAATAAAGCGTTTTTTTTTTTCTTTGCAATAATATACATTTATCAATTCGTAATGAATGTATTTCGTGTCAATATTGAAAAAAATGGTGACAGTTCAAATTTATCAAATAGTTCATTTTTAAAAGTTTATTTTCAATATGTAGTAAAAAGAAAAAAAAAACTATAATTTAAAATTTTTCTTGATTATAATAATAAATCAAATTTGAAAGTTTATAAATCAATTTTAGCAATACGTTGAACAAGTTCATCAAAATTATAACGAGTTTTAAATGTTGTTGATGTTGGTTCTTTTGTCATCATGCCTGTTAATTCTTCATACTTTATTAAATCAGGTGTCAAAATCATAACACAATGAGCAAACCAATTATATGGTTTAACCAGTAAACATCCTTCACGTTGTAACTATAATTATACATTAAATTGAAGACAAAAAAGAAAAAAAAACTAATTTCTTAAACTTACAAGCGTAGCTAAAGCTCGGTCAGATGTCACTATAATTGTATGTTTATTTTTCTCACGATTTTCAGGTTGTCGTGCAATGTCAACTAACATATCATCAGTTGTACGATAATTAGGTTGAGCACTTGTAACTTTAACTGTACCAATTTGATCTAATTGACGTGTTGAATCAAAAATAAGTTCAATATATGGTATATGCATTTGTTCATTCCATGCTGAAGCTATTTCTCCTAAAGCACGTTCAGTTTTTTTACCAGCTCGATTTAAACATAAACGACGAAGAGAATCAACAACAAACATCATATTATTTCCATCTAAATAAACTTTTTCGATATCATGTGGCCAATCTTCTTGTTTATTTATTGTTAAATAAGCATTTTGAGCTTCAGCTAATAATGAATGTTTCTACAAAAATAAAAATAATATTTCTCTTTTCTATGTTTAAAATTTAATCTTACTAATTTTCGTTCTTCTCGACTTCGACTACGTCGTTCTCGTTCTTCTGCAGCTCGAGCAATTGTCATGTCAATTGATTGATTACATTCTTGAAAGATTGATAATATTTTCATTGGATTTCCACGTACACCAGCTGCACGAAGTCGTTTAAGATTACTAATATCATCAACACTTAATTCACGTCGTTTTTTCCACATTGAACATTTTTGATTAGTTTCATCTGTTGTTTTATTTGGTGATTTATTTCGATGTTTATGACGATATTCTCGTCTTTGTTCATGTTTTTCTTTTCTTTCCTTTAAAAGTTGTTTAACAACATCAACTTGTCCATCAGCTTTTTCTAATAAACGTATTAATATTCGTTTATTTTTTATTGTGATACCATCAGCTTCAAGTTGTGCAATTTGATCTGCATATTTTGTATCAAGTTCAGCTAATTTTTCTTTTCTTTCTGTACGATGTGACATTTTTTCAATGATCTATTATGATGGAAATATTTCATTATATAAAAATCATTATATTCTTTAAAAAAAAAAACAAAAATAAATAAAAGAACATCTCCTACCTTATTAACATCGCCTTGATTTTTTTCCAATTGTCGAAGTAGACATGGACTATTAACATTAATACCAGCTGCAGATAATTCAGCTAATTGAGTAGCATATTTTGTTTTTAATTCTTCTCGTCTTTGACGTCGATACATGCCTGAATGTTCACCTCCTCGATGACATCGTTCTTCACCTCTTTCTAAAAATTTTCGAACTTGTTCAACATCACCACCATAACATTCCATAAGTTTCAATAAACGAATACGTTTACGTTGTTGAGCCGAGAGAAATTCTTGTTGTAATGCTGTTACTGTTGAACCATAGCGTGTTTCAAGTGCATCGAATTTTTTACCACGAAATTCTCGTTGAACGAGAATTGCACGAACCTAATTCAAATATATATATATATTTTAACTTAAAAAAATTCTGTTTTTTTTTACGCTGATATATAAATATCAAGCAACCTCCATTCCCCCGCATGAGAGGTATTAGCGGGCTATAGAAAATATAAAAAATATTATACCTGATCAACATCACCATTATGTCGTTGTAAAAGACGAGTTAATCTGTTTGTTGGTTCTTGTGGAAAACGTTCTTGAAGAACACGTAATTGTTCAGTATATTCTTGTACATTTGTAGCCATAATTGTATGTTGTATTTTGTTACGAATAATATCAAATGAAAATACAACAGATAAAATCTCGCTTTTTATACCACGTAGATGGATAGGTGAAGAATTTTCTAGAAGTTGCGCAATAATGATGAAATAGTATTACTAATTTTTTTTACTAAACCAATCATAAATATTGTTGTCGACGTGGCAAAATATTACTATATTTAGAAACTCTCCTATCCAAATAGGATGAATAATACAAATAAAAAATTTGCACTCAATAAAATTTTATTGCGACATAAAAGATAGTAATAAAGAAAACTAATGATTAAACATTAAAAATTATCTGATCTTTCTTTCGTATGATTCATCATAATTTTTAAAATTCAGAATTCTAAATATAATTGTTTTTAGAAAGAAAAAAAAACGATATAATCTATAATTTCGTTAATATTATTTCTATTAAACATGTTTCGAAATTACATCGATGAATAATTTAATTGTGTAGTAGTTTGCTTTGATTACATATAATAATAATTCTAATATTTCTTTTTTTTCCGAAGATTCAGTTCAATAATTAATATAGCTTTTACAATCACTTCCGATGAATGACCATGCCAGGCGATTTTGATTTATATGATATTCAGTAACTAGTGTAATAATATTTGTACTATCATTTGAATTTATTGTTTAAAAGAAAGAACAAAAAAATGAAAATTCAGATTCAAAAGACGATACACAAACAATTTGAAAAAGAAATTCTTCAATAACGTTTTCATAGAGTTTGAGCAATTAGAGACCGGTGGCGGTGCCACAAGAGGAAATAGAATCCTCTCGAAAACTGTCTGAGTCCTTCTGGAAAATTTTACAAGTTATTCCTAATGGTGATCTTATCGGAGGTCTGAGGGAAGCTCATTCCTTCCTCCTTCTCTAGTCTTTGGGAATCCTGGTGTTGATACTACTAGAGACATCGTTTTATAGATGTCATATAACCACAAATCAAATATATTCTAAAGTTTTTCTTTTCAGTAATAATTATTTTGAAATAATTAAATATTTTATTTTTATTATAAATTAAAAGATTATTCGATCATCTTTTAAAAAATTTGACATGTGTCTATTATATAAATATTAATTCAAAACAAAAAAAAAAATTTTTTTTATTTACCTTTGAGTGTCAAAAAGGAGGTTATTCATTGTTTGAATATGTCCATTTAAATGGCTGCCATTGTTTATTAATTTTTCAATGATATGATGGTTTCACACTTGTTCAATCTATTTAACAATGTCAACATCATCGACAATAATAACACGAAAAACACGTTCAACATGTGTAACATCAAATTCTATGGATGTTTCAAATATTTTCGAGGATTTTCATACAAATCTTCATTCACCAACACAATTTATACATATATATAATCAATATTATCAATCTCAAACACAACGAACAACATTATTTAATATTCTTTGTAATATATTAATAATAGAAAATGTTGATAGAAAAATTTATTTATTTATTCTTGATTGTTTAATAACAAATTATGAAAATTTATCTGATATACAATTTAAACAAAATTTATTACCATTTATTAAACAAATATTTCTAACAAAAGATGATGATGATAATAATAATAATAATAATGAAATATTATTATCAATAATACGATTATTTATTGTACTTGTTGAATATCGATCAAATATTTTAACATTAACATTAGTTGAATGGTTATTATGTTTATTAAATTTTCTTGCAATGCATCTTACATCAACAACATATTTAATATATGGTGATTTAATTACTGATTTACTTTCAAAAATAATTAAACAATTTACACCATTATCAAAAGAAATTGTTGAAATTCTTAGTCGATCATCAACATCATTAATTATTTCAACAAATTTTCTTAATCAATTAAAATTATGGATACAAAATATTGATGATATAAGATTAGTTTTATTTACAATTCATTTATGGGAATCATTAGCTATTCTTCTTAGTCGATTAATAATACGAGGTCATACAAAAGGAAATGAAATTTTAGCTATTATTGAAGATGGTAAGTTTTCGTCTAAAAAAAATCATATAATTAAGTTTTGTTTATTTGATAATAAACCAAAAAAAAAAGGAAGAAACCAATTTTTTTTAAAACATATTCTACATTCTTAATATCAAATGTGCAATAGTAGATTTAATAAACCTTGTCGAGACTTTTAAGAATTTACACAGTACAAAGAACTCTT